GCTTGTAAATTTTAGCCTGAAAAGATCCGAAGAGATGTATATTTGCATCCTTGACTCTCTCTCAGATACGAAGTAACATCCACGAAGTACACGCGAGATCTGTACAAAGAGCTGCTGATTTCTCTGGTGGCGTCGCTCTTCATGGGCTTCGGCGTTCTGTTCCTCTTACTGTGGGTCGGCATTTATGTCTGAAAGTGAGTCTCTTTACGCTCTTCAGCTGTGTTATAACACTTCAGTTTTTATGAGATAAAAAAAAGGTAATTACAACATTTTCATCTCACAACTTAATATAAATGATATAAACTCGCAATTCTGAGAAGAATGGTCAGAATTGTGAGATAAAAGTGCTGCAATTACCTTTTTTATTTTCTATTCCATGAAAAAAAAAGTGTTAGATGAAAACAGAATTCTAAGGAAAAAACCCTCAAAATTGCAACAACAAAAAAAATCAGAATTGACTTCCAAATATTACCGGTTTGGTTAATATTTTGAATCAGTTTTTATTTTAATTTTAATTAAAGTGTTCAATTTTTGTTTATTTTAGTAAATAAAGTTAAACGTTATAAACATGAGCAATGTTGCCTAGGAATAAAATACGTTTTTTAGTATTTTATTTCAGTTCAAGTTTATTTGAAGCAACAAACATTTTTTTTTTAATGGTTTATAGTTTATTTTAATATAAGAAAAAAAAAATCACAATTACCTTTTTATTTTTTATTCCACAGTGGAAACAGGCTTCTAAATATTAAACATTTTTTTTTTAATGGTTTATAGTTTATTTTAATATAAGAAAAAAAAATCACAATTACCTTTTTATTTTTTATTCCACAGTGGAAACAGGCTTCTAAATATGACAGTTTTTGTTCATATTTTGAATTAGTTCTTTTTTTAAATTTAATTTTAGTTAAAGATTTAATAATTTTGTGTTTTGTGATTTTTATTATTTCTAAATGTCTGTATGATTTTCATTCATTTTTATTTCAGTTTTAGTTTATTTAAATACATCAATTTCAATGAAAAATATAGCTGCAAGCAGCGATATGCGCTGTGCAGAGCGGGAAGATCAAAAACAGTTGAAACTGAAAGAACGTAAAAACAGCTGGTTCAGAAGTATAGGTGAGAATGAACAGAAGTTCAAATGAAAATGGATAAAAACATGTATTTCTAATCCAGGAGAAATAAAGATTTGTATAATGCTGATCTGGATAATAAACAAATCAAAACAGCACAACATAACACAATTTTATAAAGTTGCGCCACGCGAGACTCGAACCCACAACATGAAATGTTTCGGGGCCAGTGGCTTAGCAGAGTGCGCCACTCAGTTGAGACACAATCAACAGACTGCAAAAGAGAAGTTTAGGTGTGAGAATGAGCTCACAAAAGCATGACTTAGCATTTTAGACAGATTAGCATGCTAAGCTAACTTAATACTAACGTAGCTTACGGTTAACCTGATAGTTGAAGAGTCACATTAGAACGAATGGCAACCAGTTAGCATGCTAAGCTAACTAACATAAATCAACAAGCACAGGCATGGCCTATTTGGAGAGGTATTTCTCGGGAATGGTTGTGAATATCAAAAATCTGTTCAGTCATTTCAGTCTGTTCAGTGCGGCTCGTTCCAAAGATCATCTGATCAGATTTTGGACAAAATTGGGCAAAAATTGTAGGAGGAGTAGCGAAAAAACTGTTTTTCATTTACTTCAATATGGCAGACAGGCACATTGATGAAAAATGACATATCGTCAGAATTGGTATAACCCAGGGAATGAAAGGATGCAAAAATAACTAAATTTGGACAATGTTTTCAAAAGTTATAAGCACTTTTGCAAAAAAAATTTATATCTGGAACACCAGGTGGCGGGGTGTTCAAACTTCTCAGGTATCTCCGGGACATGGTGTCGATCAGTGCTGATCCTAGACTTCTGGGAGCCCTATGCAAAACTGTGTCGGGGGGGGGCGGGATGGAACGAATGAATGAAACTCATTTGTCCGTGTATCACTCCGTCTCGAATCGCACTCGCGGAAAGCGCTTGAGAAACACGCCCTCGCGAACAGAGCCGACCGATCCTAGACTTCTGGGGGGGGAGGGGGTATGAGTGGTTATGAATGAATGAATGAAACGCATTTGTCCGTGTTTCACTCCGTCTCGAATCATGCTCACAGAAAGCGCTTGAGAAACAGTGTCTCTTCTGCGGCTCGGTACGCTTTCAACTCGTTTTTTAGTTTCGAGCAAGACTTTACGACATTCATATTACATGATTTTACTGATTTTTACGTAGAAAGGGCGACAGCGCACCCTGATCATTAGACCCTGATAAAAGAAATTATCATTAATGTTTTCATAACCGCTGGCCAAATTCAAAAACGCAGCTTGCGTATTTTGCGTATACGGAGGATCGGCTCTGGTTTCGATAATCCCTACCGATTTTTGTGCAGATATATCAAATGGTTTAAAATATATTGCAATTTATGACATATTTCAAAATGGCAGACACATGGTTCAGCCGATCCTGGCAAAATTCATATCCACAGATTCGGCATGACCCAAGGAATCCATAGACATAGATCCATAGACACCATGATTTTCTGACTAACTGATCAAAAGTGATCAGCAAAAATAGCCATTTTTCATATCTTGTGATCCATAGGTGGCGCTCTTCCCAAATTTGGCATGGACCCTCAGATCATGGTGTTGATGAAGCATACCAAGTTTTGTTTCGATTGACCAAATTTTGGCTGAGATACAGCCTCTGAACCAATTTCGGGTCAACCTCGTTAAGTTCACAACATCATAACTTTTGAACAAAGATGAATTTTAAAAATCTGTTCAGTCATTTTAATGACAAAATGTGTTTGGTGAAGAGTTTTTGGCTCAAGGTCTGCATTTAAAGTCACACCAGAAGTGTTCAGCTGGGTTTCTGCAGAGCAGTCAAGTTCTTCCACACTGACTCAATCAATCATTTCTTTTTGAACCTTGCCTTATACACAGGCATTGTCGTGTTAGAATAGAAAAGGGTCCTGTCCAAACTCTTGTTTTAATTTAGAAGCACACAATTAATTCAGAACATCACGTTAAGATTTGTACTCTTGGAAATTACTAAAGTAGTCAAACCTGTTCATTAGAAGGCAATAGTGTATATTATCCTTAAAATTACAGTATTTACAGTCCCTGAATTTTCCATGAAATATATTTATGACATCTGTTGTATTTGTGTTCATCAGGTTGTGGAAATGACATGTAGGCTACAGGAAAACATTCCAAGGTGATCAGAAAAGTTTTTCCGAGACTTCAGAAGCACTGGGATTTTGGATGGAGTTTGCACTGGCATGATGGGCAGGATTGTGTTAATATTTCACAAATAAAAAATTTGTTTAAAAATCCAAAATGATTCCTGGTTTTCATTTGATGTGTCCACTGTTAGAGATGTTTTCATTCTTGAGGATTATTTTCCTTATTTAAATCTCTATATTTAGACATTTTCATGTGTTTAACGTCCTTTGTAAGTCACTCTGTATAAAAGTATCTGCTAAATAAATGTATATTTCATTCACATTAAAATTATTCCATTCCATTTAATCTTAAACAATAGAATATTATATAATTAAAATACTATTATTATAATTAATAGCAATCATAGAAAAATATTATACAACCAGTGTAATTCTGATTAAATTTTTAAATTTAAAATTTAATACAATTTTTCCCACAGCACTATGTCAAGCAGAGCTTCACCAACAGTGCTTCATCTGATTAATTATTAGTAATTCATTTGTTTCTTACAAACACAGCTTTTTTTCTTTACAAGACGTTACCTGATGGACTGGAGTCGTGTGGATTACTTGTGGATTATTGTGATGTTTTTATCAGCTGTTTGGACTCTCATTCTGACGGCACCCATTCACTGCAGAGGATTCATTGCTGAGCAAGTGATGTAATGCTACATTTCTCCAAATCAGTTCTGATGAAGAAACAAACTCATCTACATCTTGAATGACCTGAGGGTGAGTGCATTTTAAAATGTAAATTTTTGGGTGAACTATTTCTTTAATTGGTGTTTTGTACGGTTTCCTGTTAACATCAGTATGTTCCTACGTTCATCCTCACACGATGTGAGGAGCGAGTTGGCTGGGTATTTGAAAACATAGCATGCTATTTGTGTCCTGTGGGCTGTTTGTGGAGCGTAAAACCCCAATCCAAGCTTAATCTGACTGATCAGAATAGAACAGTCTGTCAGCGTGGAGGAGATCGTCGCCTGTCTCAGAGATAAAGCGGCTACAGACGTGCAATGAAAATTGAAAGAAACAGTTCACCCAAAAAATAGTTAATCAGATCAGATTTGGAGAAATGTAGCGTTACATGACTTGCTCAGCAATGGATCCTCTGCAGTGAATGGGTGCCGTCAGAATGAGAGTCCAAACAGCTGATAAAAACATCACAATAATCCACACCACTCCAGTCGTGATGTTCGTAAGAAACAAATCCATCTTTGAGGCCTTTAGACCGTTGCTTCTGGACAAAAAATATGAGTCCATAATAACGCTTCCTCCAGTGATAAAGTCCATCTCCTGTTATCCTCTCACATCAAAATCCACCGACATATTTGTTTAAAAATGTTTAGGACTGTTTTCGCTTGAAAACGCATACTCTCTTAATTCGGCCGAGAAGACATTTTCATGCAAGAAAGCGATATTATGGAAAGAGGACTATTTTAGCTGGAAGCTACGGTTTAACGTTAAAACACCCATAATCATAGATTTGTTTCAAACAAACACGCAGCTCTTCGCTTCACAAGTGTCGTGTGTATTGTTTTTATCAGCTGTTTGGACTGTTTCCACACACAAATTTCTTCAAATCTGTTCTGATGAAGATACAAACTTGTCTACATCTTGGGTCGGTGAGTACATTTTCATTTTTGGTTGAACTATTTCTTAAAGAACACTTATGTTTGCGATAAATAGGAGAAATAAAGCATCAGGGACACGCATCAGGCCAATGGAAAATGTTTATTAGTACAACATAAATGACAGAAAAATGCGATCTCGATTTCGGCATAACAAGTGCACTGACGCTCTGCTGTTTACTCACTTTGTGTAGTGTTGGGTGAACAGTGAGGCACTTTGTTGATGCTCCGTCGACAATTTACTGAAAATATACCGAACGTGTCACTTGGAGGATGTTTATGAAAACATTACAAACAAAATGTTTAAAAGATGGGCACAATATACAAAAATTCACAATTCCTTGAGACCAAATTCCACTCGTCGCTTCAAAGGCAAACCGAAGTGAACGAAATCTCTCGTAGTTCGACTGTACGATCAAACTCTGCTCAAGCAATGATCCAAAACCATTTTAAAAAAGACATTTTAGTACGTACTACATTACACAACAAGATGTCTACGCAACCAACATGTAAGAAGCAATTTATGATAATTGTAGCTTTACACCTGGTGCGGGCAGTAAGATCATTTGTACTATTGTACTAAGATGTGTTTTGAGACATTCAGACGTCAGGTTTCATGATGCTTTATTTCTCGTTGCGCTTCTCAGTCATTAAAAACACAAAATGAGATCTCTCCAATCGCCAGTGTGCTCCATGGAAGCCATCTTGGCTCTTTCCTACAATTCAGAAGTTTGTTTTAAGGTGGCGGGGCTCTGAATGAGTCCATCCGTTTTGTTTCTTGAAATGCTTTGGTTGTGTGTTGTATTGCACAACGTTAACGTCCCCCGTGCACCATTTTGGGTTTGTTTCCAGGCGTGTCGTTTCACTGTCGCGCTCTAGCAAATGCGTCACGGAGCCATGGGGAATCTTCGTAAAGTCTGGGGTCTCCCAGATACTCGGTTGTGCGTTTGTAGAAGTAGTAATACAACACAGCAGCTGGGGAGACACAAAACCATCAACAGGCAGTGGTTAACTTCTATGGAAACAGCAAAACTGCTAAATAGTAAAGAGCGATTAACTGTCTGATTGGAAGAAAACTGTGCCTCTGGTTTGATCACACGTCTACAACAGCTTTAGTGTCATGAGAGAGAAAGGTTAGGCCTGTATCTCCAAACATGTAGTAAGGGATTGAGAGGTTCTTGATGAGATTGACAGTGACCCTCACGTGAAATCCAATTCGGGGTTTGGCTGACGTCTCACGGCCGGCTTACCCAGTCTCTGGAACACAAAGAGAACCTGCAGACCGTCCGTCCACACGAAACGATTGGACTCCATCCACCTCAGGTTCTGACAGGAAATGAACAGAATGAAGGAAAATTAGAATTCTAGAAATACAAATATGGACAGAATTTTGAATGCAATGTAAATCTTTCTTTAATGTTTATTTTACATATTATACATTAATAATTTTCTGCAAAGTCAATTTTGGACACTCTAAATCATTATTAATTGATATACAAAAATCATTTTCAGCAAAATGGATTTAAACAGTGGAAATTAACAGAATAATGGGAAATGAAAGTATTTTAGAAGTACAACTATGCAAATACAAATTTTACTATTTTATTGATCTTATTTTTTACTTATATATATTATACAATAATCATTTTCTACAAAATTTCAGAAGAATGGCTTTAAACATGGGAAATGAACAGAATAAGAAAAGGAGTATTTTAGGAATACATATTTATACATGTATAAATATGTTTATATTATTGTATTATATATACAATAATGTTTCGCAAAATTTCAGCAGAATGGATTTAAACATGGTAAAGAACAGAATAAAGGGAAATTAAAGTATTTTAAGTTATTTTTATGTTTATTTTAGTTTTACTTTTAATTTTACTAAAATAATACACAATAATCATTTTCTGATAAATTACAGCAGAGCAGATTTAAGCATGGTGAGGAATTTACAAAATTTCACGAATTACAGAAGCTATTAATTTTTTACCATTTTATTTATCTTATTTAAATTTTTAATTGGTATACAATAATAATACAATAACAATTTTCTACAAAAATGTAAACGCATGAAATGAACAGAATGAAGGGAAACGAGAGTATTTTAGAAATATATTTAGAGATTTATTTTTTATTATATATTATACTATAATAATTTTCTGTTAAAAAAAAATTATCAGAATGGGTTTCAAAATAAAATGAAACAATTTTTTAAAATTATTTTATTTTAGTTTTATTTTTAATTTAAATATTATACAATTATAATTTCTGCAAAAGTGCAGCAGAATGGATTTAAACATGGCGAGGAATTAATATAACTTTACAAATGATCACAGATTCCATGTAGGATCTAGTAATAATCAATATTTGCTCGTGTGTGTGTGTGTGTGTGTGTGTGTGTGTACACACCATGACCCAGCAGTGAAAGCAGATGCTGAGAGTCAGGTAGAGTGCAGACAGTATCAGCAGCGCTCGGAATCGCTCCAGTAACAGCGACACCAGCCCCACCTGGAACACGTATGTGTTGAACATCATGAGAAGAATGATGAGCACGTTAAACAGGATGCCGATGTCCTGGATTCTGCGGAAACAAGACAGATAACCGATATAATGTTAGAAAACATTCATGCATTTCCTTTGATTCAAAGCATCTTGCATTGCATTCAAGTTTTACATTTTATCAGTTCATCTGGGAATCAAACCCATGACATTGCCATTGCTAAACTTTTGCACCCTTGTTCTAGAAAAAAATGTGTCTATATAGTAGTTTGAAAATATGGCACAAAAGTGCTTATTTTCTAAATATTTTCTGCTTTTAATATTGAGCAAATCAGACTGATGCTATAAATAATGTGACTTGTGGTGAAATCTGTAATGCACTCACATGAAGAGCACGAGCTGTATGACCGGCGCGGCCCGCAGCAGTTCACTGAAGGAGTTAACGAACAGGTCAAAGGTCAGCAGTGCCAGCTGGATCAGCAGCACCAGCGAGTAGTTATTGGTCTGGAGCATATCTGCAGCGATCCGGAATATACTAGAAAACACCACCACAGCCCTCCGCCATATGAAACTCTTCAGCAGACGTCTGACGTGGAGATCATCTCGCCGTGATTATATGGAGGAAATTCCATCTCACTTCCTGCTACTCCATGACAAACCAAAGCACAGCGAGGATAATTCCTGGAGTTGTTCCACTGGCCGTCTAATCCGGGCGTCAGCCATGCTGGATACGGTGAGGAGTAAACATTCAGATGCTCGGGTGAATATTAATGTTCCTGAAGAGCTGAAATCCTCATCGGAGCGTGTTGAGATGTTCCTCCTGAATGGATTGTGGAGAAGATAAAATCACATCAGAAACAAACTCTTCTAGCTAGCAAGATATCTATGTATCAAATGTCTATCTGTCTATCTGCTGAATGTCTGTCTGTCTGTCTATCCATCTGCTGAATGCCTGTATCTATCTAAAATATATAGCTATCATGATGAATGGCTATCTATCTCAAATATATTTATCATGTTGAATATCTGTTTAAATATCTATCTATCTTTACTGTCTATGTTCAAGATAGAAAATAGAAATATAAAATAGATACATAAAACACACAGTATATGTTGAATGTCTATGTTAAATTATCTGTTAGATATCTATCTGTTGAATGTCTATCTATTTCTACTGTCTATGTTCTAGATAGAAAATAGAAATATAAAATAGATAAAATACACACATGTTGAATGTCTGTTAAATGATCTATCTGTTAAATATCTATCTATCTGTTGAATGTCTATTTCTACTGTCTGTTCTAGATAGAAAATAGAAATATAAAATAGATAGATTGAATGTCTATCGATCTACCTATCTATCTGCCTGTCTATCTATTTAATGTCTATCTATCTTCTGGATATCTTATCTAAAATATAGCAATCATGTTGAATGTCTATATCTATCTGTTAAATGTCTAAGTATCTAGCTATCTAAAATATATATATCTATCAGGTTGAATATCTATCTATCTATAGATAAAATATCTAAAATATATCTATCATGTTGAATATCTATCTATCTATAGATAAAATATCTCAAATATATTTATCATGTTGAATATCTATCTGTTTAAATGTCTGTCTGCGTACGTCTGTCTATCTATCTATCCATCTGTCTATTTATCTATCTATTTAATGTCTGTCTATCTTCTGCATATCTTATCAAAAAATATAGTAATCATGTTGAATGTCTATCTGTTATCTATCTATCTATCTATCTATCATGTTGAATGTCTATCTGTTATCTATCTATCTATCATGTTGAATGTCTATCTGTTATCTGTCTATCTATCATGTTGAATGTCTATCTGTTATCTGTCTATCTATCTATCTATCTATCTGGCTGTCTATCTGCTGAATGTTTGTCTACTCACCTGTGGAGTAAGCGGATCTCCTTCAGCGTGTTCTCCAGGGTGCTGCACAGGAAGAGCAGCAGGTCACTGAGGGGATTACGGGTTAATTTCACTGAGTGCAGGAGGAGATGAGACGCTCTGGGCAGCTCTAATCTCCGTCGGATTCAAAACTCCATACAGCCTAAACAAAGAGTTTAACCAGCTTCTCTCAACACTCCTGACGCTCACCATGAAATATCGACGGTATGCAGCGTCGGTCCTAATGAATTAATAAGAGTGTGTATAATGACCATAATGACTGGATGAGTTCTGGATGAGTTCACTGAGGTCCTGTGTGAACTCTGAAATCTCTCGTGATTATCTATCGTGTTGAATGTTTCTGTATCTGATTTGGGGCAAATTAATCACATCAACAGATTAAGCGCAATTAAATTCTACAACAACATATAAAATGCATTCAACACTTCTAAAAGCAAGACTACTTCAAACCAAAGTCGTAAACAGCTGATGAACAAGAGATTTAACCAGCTAAAACGGCTAACTGCTAACCAAACGCACACATCTTTAAACGTTTACACACCTGTGGAAGTCGAAACCCAGACTTCGCCTCCCTTAATTCCGCATGAATCGTGAAATCATCCGTCTGAATAGTAAAATCATCCTGATTTCCCGTGATTGTAACGGAGAGTTTCTGACTTGAGCTGATCGCGAGCCACAGCAGTGCGCGAGCGCTGCCGCGTCTCCCATGGCAACGGCGCGAAGTTCCGGTTACCGTAACGTGTAGAATAAATATATAATTTTTTTTTTTTATATATATATTAAAGTAATAAAGATTTAAATAATAATAATAATGCGTTTCTAATATACAATACATAACGTCAAGTTAAAATTATATAGCCTAACCGTTTGTTTGTTTATTTTATCGCGTATTTATGTGTATATCTTTATCGATGTACCTTCACTGTTATTAATTATTTGGAATTGTAAAACATTTTTTACAAGGTAAACAACATTTTTATTTCATAAACGCTGTTCTGTTTTCAAATTGGCGGGACAGAGTTGGAGCCAAGACCATTTTGAGAGACGATTTCTTATAAGCATTACGGTATTCTGAGGCTTGATTCTCTACTGCCCGCTGCTAGATGAACACTAGTTTATAAAACACCTAGTTTTCAGGTGACACGATACACACCTGAGCAACATCGCATCACAGGTCTGGTATGTTCTGTTTCTTTATTTAATTTATTTATTTGAATGACATTTTAATTGATTATGTATTCAATTTAACGCCAGTTTTGGTTTGTCTTTAACAAATTGAAAAGTGCTGACATATGTTTTAAATTATGCATGAGGTCTGAAGTGATAGACAATGTCTACTAAAACTCTTCTAGAACAACACTTAGTCTAAATTGTATTATATATGCCCTTCATCTCCTTGAGTACCATGGTTTTACCATGTTTGTGGACACCTTTTAAACACCATGGTATATGATGGTGGTATGCATAAGTATTAAATGGTCAAACCTACCAACACCACTGATCCCATCACATACTGTTATGTATAAAGTTGATGTCTATTTTGCGTCCAAATCCATTCTGTAGACAATATAGTGAAGTATTAAATGGAAATGTATTCTGAGATGAAGTGGGTCATTGCACATATGTTCTTGAGCATATCTGAGTGTATATGGGTTTGCAGTTTCATCGTAACAAATTAATGATTTAACTTTACCTGAAAGTCTTGTTTTAAAAAAATGTTTTGATTTATTGAAAGTGGGTGTACTTAGTCTAAATTGTATTATATATGCCCTTCATCTCCTTGAGTACCATGGTTTTACCATGTTTGTGGACACCTTTTAAACACCATGGTATATGATGGTGGTATGCATAAGTATTAAATGGTCAAACCTACCAACACCACTGATCCCATCACATACTGTTATGTATAAAGTTGATGTCTATTTTGCGTCCAAATCCATTCTGTAGACAATATAGTGAAGTATTAAATGGAAATGTATTCTGAGATGAAGTGGGTCATTGCACATATGTTCTTGAGCATATCTGAGTGTATATGGGTTTGCAGTTTCATCGTAAAAAAATGAATGATTTAACTTTACCTGAAAGTCTTGTTTAAAAAAAATGTTTTGATTTATTGAAAGTGGGTGTAAATAAAATACTTGATTTATAATAGGTATGTATGATTTCCTCTAACACAGAGCAAAAAGCACGTGTAAACTGTATGCTTTCTTATCTGAAGTTGACATATGGCTGTTATCTCTCAGGTGATTTTCGTGTGTAATTGTAGCAAAGCTTGGGAAGTTTATTTGACCTTGAGTGTTGCAATTCCTCTTTTGGCTTTATTGCAGGTGTAAACATGCCATGCCCATATATTTTGGTATTCGCACATAACTCGAATCACAAAATCAACATGAATGTTTCGTGTCAAAACGCTGGCCCTTAAACTTGTTTTTTTTCTTTTGAAATGATGATTTAGGTCGCAGAATGTCATTGCAAATAACAAATTGTCAGAATGTCGCTAAATTAGATAACAAAATAGCCTGTGATGCAAGCTCACTTCTTAAGCAGAACGTTTGACAAATGTGTTGAAAAATGAAAACAAAACATTTAGTATTACTAATACAGAATGCAATGACTTCAAGTGTCACTTAAAGCAACTGTATGTAGTTTTATGTATTTTTGTGACGTTGCAGCCCCCTACAGTTAAGCGAGTGATGAAACTCACTGTCTTAAATATATTACTGTCATAATTACATTGGATCACTGTACCAAAATCGTTAGATATAAGACGGTGTCTCACTGTACTTGTGAATGGAAAAACCGCAACTGCAACCGCAATATGGCGGAATAAATCTCATCTTCTAAATAAATGAAGCTCCGGTTGCCATAAAAACATTTATGACTTAGGACTGCACATGCGCATTGACTTATCTGTAATGGAACAGCTAATTGAGCATAAGAAACAAAAGCAAATATGGTTGCCGAGTGAACAGATTTTCCGTGAAAGCGAATTTGGCTGAAAACGCGCATTTGTTAAGCGATCCGCCCTTTTCACGGGATTTCGTACCCGCTAACCAGTGCTGGGGAAAGTTACTTTTAAAAGTAATGCATTACAATCTGTACAGTAGAATGCAGAAGAAGAGATTTCAACACACTTAAAAAAGACAATAAAAAAAGACACACAAATGTTTGTCTAGAGTGATTTTTGCTTATTAGTACGGTTGAACTAAATCATCGAAGGTCAGAAGCAAATACATTGGTTAATAGAATGGGATTAATAACATAAAGGATATTTGTGTTGTTTAACATTTAATTATGGCTGAATTAATGCATATTCATATTTATTTTAGAACTACAGTAACATCTTCTGATTTCCCTCAACATGGGGACAGGAGAGCTGTCAATCAATAAATTGAACAAAAAATCTGATTACGTAACTCGCGTTACTTGTAATGCGTTACCCCCAACACTGCCGCTAACTATTATTACCTGTTGAATAGACGTTTGGGGAGGAACGTGGGGGAAAAAACAGAAACCATTCGGCTTTTATAGAAGTCAGTGCACCATCAGAATGATTCTGAAACTTACTTGATATTTTAAGGTAAACAACTTACAAACATAGCCTACAGTTGCTTTAAGTGTCCAAATATTTTGTGGCTATATGTACTGTATATTGTAATAAGGTTCAACCAAAGACTTCCTTCAAGTAATCGCATTAAGTTTTATTTAACTTTTGGGGCCCTTGTGATTGTGTCCTCTGCAGGGCCGTGGGACCTGTTTTATCTTCTCTGCAATTTTATATGATCTGAGCATATTGCTTTCCAGATATCATTGATTCAAATCATTCATAATCACTCAGCGCTATTGTTCCAACCACAACTCAAACCATTAAACATAATATGGAGGTATTTCCCCTGCGTCCTGCCCTCATCCGCATGGCTGACACAAGCTCGTGATTATGAGTAAGAGCTCTGAATGCTATGTAAACCGAGCTAAACCCTTTATTTGCATTTTACTTTGTTTTTGCACACACTCCCTCTCTACATGCACACACACACACACAGAGAGACAGTCCTGTCACATGACTTCATCCTGTTTTGCAGTTCATATCCTGGAGCTCTCCAGAAAGCCAAAGACGTTGAAGAGAAATGCAATTGTGACGTGTATGTGTGCACTGCTTTGTTTGGATAGTTGCCTGATTTCTACATGAGTAAATGTTATTATAATTTGACAGATGACAATTAGTTGCTGGTGGACGTATTTGCTCATGGCATGTCTTAAAATCTAAATGCCACATCCGTTTATCCTTGCGAAATTCCCATGTGCTTTGAGCTAAGTTGAGTTAAGCTGCCATGTTTCCCGCGAGCCTGCTGATTATATAACAATTTGTCACATAGCTGTGGACTTTTGCATTTGATTTAATCATTAACCATGTAATAGGGCCTCACATTTGTGTGAATCGATTAGGGTCAATACATCGTTGAGGCAGACTGACTGTGTAACATTTTAATGCACTTCTGCTGTCATTAAACTATATACAGTATAGTGTTGTTATTGTTACCTACAACTATTACAAATTAATAACAAAACTTTGTGTAAACTAACTGAAATACAACAATTACTAAAACTAAACTGGAAATTAAAATAAAAAAGCTAAATAGAAAATAAAAAACAGAACTAATAAAAATGACAGAAGCACATAACAAAATTGCTAACACCTAACTAAAATGAAAACTAAAAATATAATTAGAATTAGAATTTAAAATATTAATAAATACTATAATAGTATATAAATAATACAGGATTAACTGGTTATATAATGTTGTTAATGTTACAACACTATATAATGCTACAACTATTAGAAATTGTTCATATTTAATGTAAACAAAAATGAAACTGCAAATTAAAAATATTAATAAATGCTGTAATGTGTGTCTGTGTGTGTGTGTGTGTGTGTGTGTCTCTGTGTCTGTCTGTGTGTGTGTGTGTGTGTGTGTGTGTGTGTACACTACCAGTCAGAAGTTTTTGAACAGTAAGATTTTTAATGTTTTTTAAAGAATTCCCTTCTGCTCACCAAGCCTGCATTTATTTGATCCAAAATACAGCAAAAGCAGTAATATTGTGAAATATTTTTGCTATTTAAAATAACTGCTTTCTATTGGACTATATTTTAAAATGTAATTTATTTTTGTGATCAAAGCTGAATTTTTAGCATCATTACTCCAGTCTTCAGTGTCACATGATCCTTCAGAAATCATTCTGATATGCTGATTTGCTGCTCAAGAAACATTTATTATAATTATTATTATTATTATCAATATTTAAAACAGAATAGAAAGAGCCAAAGATCAGCATTTATCTGGAAAAAAAAAACTTTTGTAACATTATACACTATACCTTTCAAAGGGGGGGGGTATAGAAATGTATACTTTTATTTAGCATTAAATTGATCAAAAGACGTTGATGATAAAGACGTTTATAATGTTACAAAAGATTTCTGTTTCAGGTAAATGCTGTTCTTCTGAGCTTTCTATTCATCAAAGAAACCTGAAAAAAAACCTACTCGGCTCTTTTCAACATAATAATAATGGTTTTTTTTGCAGCAAATCAGAATATTAGAATCCTGTGACTGGAGTAATGATGCTAAAAATTCAGGTTTGAAATCACAGGAATATATTACATTTTAAAATATATTCAAATAGAAAGCAGTTATTTTAAATAGTAAAAATATTT